TCTATTTATGCCTGTATATATGTAGGTCTGTGTGCATATTTGTATATGCATGTATGTATATGCATGTAGGTATGTTTGCATGCGAGTATGTAGTTATGTATGCATGACTGCATGCGTGCATGCAGGAACGTGTGTACGTACGTATATGTATGTATGCATGCATGCATGCATGCATGTGTGTACGTATGCATGTCTGGCATTCTGTCTGTCTGTGTGTGTACGTATGTATGTATATTTGCATGCATGCATGTATGTATGTAGGTATGTAGTATGTATGTATGTACGTACGTACGTATGTATGTATGTATGTATGTATGCATGCATGTATGTATTTATGTATATATATATGTATTTATGTACGTGCATATGTATGTATGTATGTATGTATGTATGTATGTATGTATGTATGTATGTATGTATATATGTATGTATGTATGTATGTATATATGTATATATGTATGTATATTTGTATGTATATTTGTATGTATGTATGTATGTAATGTATGTATGTATGTATGCATGCATGCAAGTAGGTAGGTAGGTAGGTAGGTAGGTAGGTAGGTAGGTAGGTTGGTAGTAGGTAGGTAGGTAGGTCGGTAGGTAGGTAGGTAGGTCGATAGGTGGGTAGGTATATATATATATATATATATATATATATCTATATATATACATAGAACGGCGCACCGGGTCCGGGGGCCCGGGGCCGGGACCCCGACCACAAATGTGGGCCCCGGGGGGCCCGGAGGCTCGTCGGACCGCCGGACGCCGTCCAAGATCGTTCGCAGGCGGCTTCGGAACGCGCTCCGATGGCTCAGATGCCTTCCAAGACGCCTGTCATGACACCAAGAAGGTCCCAGAAGCCTCCAAGACGCTCCGAGAGGCAGCCCAAGAGAGGCCCAAGAAGCAAAAATCGTGCCATTCCTATGGGGAAACGTATATTTTTCGCATGTTCGCCTCTTGGGCTTTCACCGCGTCCAAGGCGGCCCAAGAGGCGCCCAAGACGGTCTACGAGGCCTCCGGGAGCGCTCCAAGGCTGCGCACGAGTGGCCCAGGACGGCCCCAAGACGGCCGAAGAGAGCCCCAAGACGACTTCGAGAGGGGTCCCAGACGGAGAAAGCCAACCTCGAATTCCGAGCTTCCGGCCCAACATATCCCAGGAGGCGCCAAAACGCCGCCAAGAGGCGCCAACAGGCTCCCAAAAGCACCCCAAGACGTTCCGAGAGGCACCCCAAGAGAGGTCCAAGAAACACAAATCGTGCCATTCCTATGGGAAAACGTATATTTTTCGCATGTTCGCATCTTGGGCTTTCACCGCGTCCAAGACGGCCCAAGAGGCCTCCAAGACGGCCTAGGAGGCCTCCGGGAGCGCTCCAAGGCTGCGCACGAGTGGCTCAGGACGGCCCAAGACGGCCCAAGAGGACACAAACAAAAAAAAAAAAAAAAACCCCCCCCCCCCCCCCCCCCCCCCCCCCCCCCCCCCCCCCCCCCCCCCCCCCCCCCCCCCACCACCCCCAAGACGACTTCGAGAGGGGTCCCAGAAGGAGAAAGCCACTCTCGAATTCCGAGTTTCCGGCCCAACATATCCCAGGAGGCGCCAAAACGCCGCCCAGAGGCGCCAAAAGGCTTCCAAAATCAGCCCAAGACGTTCCGAGAGGCACCCCAAGAGAGGTCCAAGAAACACAAATCGTGCCATTCCCGTGGGAAAACGTACAATTTTCGCATGTTCGCATCTTGGGCTTCCACCGCGTCCAAGACGGCCCAAGAGGCCTCCAAGACCGCCCCAAGACGGCCCAAGAAGCTTCCAAGAGGGCCCCAGGACAGCCCAAGAGGGCCCCAAGACGGCCCAAGAGGCGCCCAAGATGGCCCAAGACGGCCCCAAGACGGGCCCAGACGGGCCCAAGAGGGGGCCCAGAGGGGGACCACGAACCGCAAGCTCGAGCCTTCCGCCCCAAGAGGCCGCCAGGAGGCCCCAAGGAGGCCCCTCAAGAGGCCCCAGGAGACCCCCAAGAGGCCCAAAGGAGGCCCCGAGAAGCCCCAAATCGGCCCCCAAAATGCTTCGAACCTGCTTCCAGGAGGCCCCCGACAGGTTCAGAGGCTCCCGAGAAGCTACGTCAAACTCCCAGCGAGCGGCCGGACGAGGCCCCCCACAAAATCACAAGAGGGTTCCAGTATTTGTATCCTTCAGCGCTCTCTGGCCTTCTTCCCCCTGCCCCCTTCCCTGCGACTTTCGTTGTCTCAAGCTCGCCTCCTAGCTAGAACCTAAGCGCGCGCGAAGCGCGCGCGTGGTTCTAGTATGTATATATATATATATATATATATATGTATGTATGTGTTTTCTGTATATTCCCAGTCGGTGAGGAAACCCTCCAGGGAACACGTAGGGGAAGCATGGGAGGATGAGGAGGAGGAGGAGGACTTCTGGGCGCAGCTGGCCAAATTATCGGATTCTGTATTCCCCTCCGCCAGGCTCACCGTAAACTCTTTGGGGAACGTTTGGGGGATGATGGGGTGGAAGTTCAGAGGAGAGGGAGGGAGGGAGGGAGACAGATAGAGAGAGAGAGAGGAGCAGGAAGAGTAGGAGGAGGAGGAGGAGGAGGAGGAGGAGATAATAGATAGGAGAGACCAGGAGGAGGAGAACCAGGAGGAGGAGGAGGAGGAGGAGGAGGAGGAGGAGGAGGAGGAGGAAAAAGAGGACAAGGAGTAGAAGGAGGAGGAGGAGGAGGAGAGGAGGAGGAGGAGGAGGAGGAGGAGGATGAGGAGAAGGAAACAGAGGAGGTGGAGACGGAGGCCTCTTGGAACCTTCTTGGGCCGCCCGTTGGGCCTGCTGGACGCCTCTTGGGAGCCTCTTTGGACCTTTCGGGAGCCTTTCGAGGCTTCTGGGGGGCCTCTCTGGCCGTCTTAGGGCGTTCCTGGCCCGTCTGACGCCGTCTCTCGCAGGCTCTGATGGCAGCTTCCAGACTTCCAGCTTGACAGTGCTGCCTGGCGGGTTCCACACAAGCCGGCGTGCTCCCATTTCCGGTACCTCAGAGGCGATGGTAAAGACCAGCTTTATGAGCGCTTTCTTCGCTTTCTTAGTTTTGCCTCCAAGGGGGCCGTCATATTAAGCTTTAGATCCGCCATCGCCGCATTGATCCAGCTGAGCTCCTTCCAGCGGTGGACGGCAGCCCCAATAACGGCGACGTTGGTGCCCAGTTAGACCGTCGGAGACGTTGACCCGATTTTCGAGCTTGACCTGTTGCCGACTCAGGAAGTGGAGGACCGCGATGGAGACCATGCCTTGCCCGACGCCAGAGACGCTGATTGGTTCGACGAAGACGCGGAGTGACGGTCTCTTGAGCCCCCCCAGTCCGGCGGTGGTGAAATGCTAGCGCGCAGCGCGAAGCCGAGAAGCGCCGCCGTGTCCTCCATCTCGCTGGGGCGCCATCTCGAGTGGCCGCTACGAGCCACGCCTTTCCCTGTCTGGTGGCATCAAGCTGTCACCGTGCAGCTTGGCTTCAACCGCCAAGGAGGCCTCCGCGGCCTCCGCGGCACCCCTCACGAGCCCCAGGGGGTCCAGGGGCCCCAGGGGCATCTGGGGCCCGGGGCGCATTCAGCAACCACCGAACCACGGCCTCGACTGAAGTCGGGCCTGTCCCTCTACGGGAGGAATGTTCAAACAGTAGCCCCCCAAAAAGTCGGGGGCCCTTCCTCGACTTTTTTATAGAACATTTTTTTGGGGGTATTTGTTTGACATTTTTTTTTTTGTTTTTTTTTTTTTTTTTTTTATTTATTTTTTTTTATTTTGCGTCCAACATCCGCCGGTGGGGGGACATGCCCGACCTAGGCCCCGACCGCTGCGACCACGACCAGGACGACCACGACGCTGTCTTCCACCAGCGCCGCCCGCGACCGCTGCCGCCGCCCCCGCGACCCGAGGGGGGGGCCCGCGACCACGGAGCTGCCGCGGGCCCGTGGCGCGAGGGAGTGTGGCGAGGGCCGCGGGGGCGGAGGCGAGGAGAGAACGGCGAGGATGGAGGAGAGGTTTGGGGGAGAGGGAGGGGAGGAGGGAGGGGGGGGGGAAGGGGGACGGGAGGGGCAGAGATATCGGAGGGACGAGGTCGAGGGAGGGAGGAGAGGGCGAGGGAGTGCAAGGGAGGGTGGAGACGGGGATTGGGAATGGGGAGGGGGGGCGGGAGGAGGAGTGTGGGCTAGGATGGGGGGTAAAAAGGGAGGGAGGAAGGGCGAACAAAGAAGCGTGAGGGGAAAAGGGAGGAGGGTCGTCGTCGTCATCGTTGTGCGCTCCTCGTGCTCCCGATCGGCGGCGCGCCGAGCTGAGGTTGTGAACCTGTTCCAGATGTTCCACAACAAGGGAGCGCAGGAGACCCCTGTCCTGCTGCCCCTCGTCCAGCCTCCCTGGCTCACAGGATCCAGGGGAAAGCGAGGAGAAGGCAGAAGCGGAGGAGGAGGAGGAGGAGGAGGAGGAGGAGGAGGAGGAGGAGGAGGAGGAGGAGGAGGAGGAGGAGGAGGGTCCGTGTTGAAACAGGCCTGCCCTCCGTCCGAGTGCGCGTTGCCGAATTTGATGGCTCTGGCCATCCGACTTGCGGAAGTCTCCATCGACAGCCCCACTCTGAAGAGTAGCTGCCCTGCGCGCGTGTGTGTGTATGTTGCTGCACACATGCGAGCCTCGGGTAGTGCAGTTTGAGGGCGTCACCAGCGCCAGCCGCACCTGCTGCAGGCTTTCGCCACATCCGCCGGCACCCTGCTATTTCGCAGGGGAGCGTTTCCGGCGCCCAAGCACTGTTGGCAGGGAGCAGCGCTCACAAGGGAGCAGCGCTCACAAGGGAGCAGCTCTCATGGGGGTGGATTTTCTGCCCTCTATCTCCTCCCCTCCCTCCCTCCTCCCTCCCCCGTGGTTTGCCTTTCGCATCGCCACTGCCCGGTAGCTCGTTTCTCGGGAGCACATCTCGCTTCAGCGAAGGCCATTTTTGAAAGATATGGCAAGAAGAGAAATATTACTGTTCCCTACTTCCCTCCCCCCGTGCCTCATTGCGAATCTCGGGCTTTTTGCTCCTCCGTCGTCTCGTCTGTGTGCCGTGTGGGGGCCCGCCCCCTCGGGTACATGTCGGCTCACGAGTTTTTGCTTCCTCGCTTCGGGGGCACCTCGCCAGCGTCACATCAGGACCGCCCCTGCTGCCTGCCTTGCTGCTGCAGCGGTGTGCTGCTGCCTCACCCCGGGCTGTTTGCTCACAGTGCCTGCCTGCTCGGTGACCTCGTGAGGGAGGGCTCCGGCCCGCCGGCGCCAGCCTTCCCGGCCCCGCCGCCCCAGCGGAAACTGGCGCGCGCTGCTCTCCCTGCTCGGTGCCCGCGGAGAAGTGCTTCGGCACTGCAAGCATTCTGCCAGTCTCAGCGCCGCACTCGGCCGACAGGCAATCGCCTTCCTCAGCGGCACAATCCATCAGCTCGTGCCTTTTTTCCCACGCCCCCCTCCTCCTCCCTCCGCTCCCCCTGCCCTCCTCGCTCTCGTCTCCCTGCGCTACCCTCGTAGCTCTTCGTTCCGGGGGCACCAGAGGCACGCTTCTGCAGTGCCCGCGCCCGAGTCAACTGTCCCGTTCCCCTCGCCCCCTCCCGCCCAGAGCTCCACTGTCGCGTCGTGTTCACAGCGTGGACCTCCGGAGATCTGGGCCCCTTCCCGGGCATGGTGTGTGTGTGTGTGTGTGTCATCCCGAATCGTTCTCGTGACGGCCTCGGGGCCCAACAGGGCCCCCCCCCCTGGCAAGCCGATGGCGCCCCCTCTCTCGGGGGCGGAAAAGAGGGGGGTGATGACTAGGAGGGGGTGGATATCATGGCGGGGGCCATGACATTTCCCCATATTTCGTGGCGCCTCTTCTTATTTCATTGCGTCCCTGGCCCCCCCGCTGGGCCGCGCACATGCCGCCGGTCATGATTTGCACCTCCCCCTCTTGGACACCTCCCTCTTGGCCGTTCCCGACTCTCCCTCCCACGCCGTGACCTTGTCGCAGCGACGGAGTCTGCCCCCCCCCCCCCCCCCCTTCCTCCGCGGCAGTTTTGCTTTAGCCCCGCGCCCCGTTCGCCCGCGAGCCCCCCCCACCCCCAGTGTTTCGGCGGCGTGCCCAGCCGGGAAAGCAGAGGGGGCGGGCCTTCCAGAAGGCTCAGAAGGCCCCTGGCCTTCGGAGCAACTTTCTGAGCCTTCTCCGAGGTAGCATACGGTTTCTTCGAGGTCGCAGAGGGCTTCTGGGAAGCCCCGCCGCCGCTCGAGAAGGCTTGCCCCCTCTCGCCTCAGAACTCCAACGTCGTGTTCTTTTCACGACGCGTGCGCCCAGAGGTTTGGACATCTTTCCCAAGACCATCTTTTGTCCAGGATCCTGGACGGTGTTTTTCCCCGGTTCCGCGGCCTCCTCACGGGCCCCGGGAGTCCGACGCTGGCAGCCCGAAAATGGCAGGCCCTGCCCGCCGTGTCTGTTGGGTCGCAGCGAGGGGAGGTGGGGCACTTCCCCCCCGTCGGCACGCCGCCGAGTCTTCCACCCCGTCTCGATGATTCTCAGGACGTGTGTTAGTCTAGGCAGGTGATGAAGTGACCGCCCCCCAGGGAGTGGTGGATATGGGCATTCTTCCGCCCTCAGGGGCGGGCAGGCATCCATATCCCACCGCCCCCCAGGATCCGCGGGCACGGCCCCGAATCGGTAGATCTGGATCTATCCGGGCGGTGAAGCCTTCCGTGGCCAAGCGCACGCCGGCGCCGACGCGCCTTCTGAGGATCATCGGCCGCTCCCCGCGGCGGCCATGGCGGCCCTGGCGGCGGCCGACCTCGTGCCCGACGCCGAGGCCCCGCACTCCTCGGAGGACCTGCGGGCGCTCCTGCGGCCAGACGCCCCGGCGCGGCAGCGCCGCTCCGCCTGGAGGCTGCCAGGGGCAGCGTCGGGGCCCCGATCGCCCATTTTCTCGCCGACGCGGGCCGGAGGAGGAGGGGGAGGGGGAGGAGGAGGAGGAGGAGGAGGAGGAGGAGGAGGAGGAGGAGGAGGAGGAGGAGGAGGAGGAGAGGAGGAGAGGAGGAGGAGGAGGGAGGAGGGAGGGGAGGGAGGGGAGGGAGGGAGGGAGGGAGGGAGGAGGAGGAGGAGGAGGAGGAGGAGGAGGCGGAGCGAGGCGGAGCGAGGGCCCACCCCGCCCAGAGCTTTGGGAAAGGTTTCTCGCCATCGGGGGCCTGCCGCCGACCTCTCGGCGGCACGTCGCCGATGCCACGTCGACGTCCCCCCAATCCACCCCTTGAGGTCTGAAGTCGGGCGCGGCCCTCTACAGTCGGGGGCGGCAAAGAGGGGGGTGATGACTAGGGGGGGTGGATATCATGGCGGGGGCCATGATATTTCCCCAGGTTTCATGGCGCCTCTTCCTGCTTCATTACGTCCCTGGTCCCCCCGCTGGGCCGCGCACATGCCGCCGGTCATGATTTGCACCTCCCCCTCTTGGGCACCCCCCTCTTGGCCGCTCCCGATACAGGAGGAGTGTTCGAAAATAGTAAACAACGGCCCGGGGACGATTTGTTTCTGACTATTTCTGAGGATTCGTGAATATTGCTTTCGGGCGATGTTTCATGCTTCCTCCAAAATGTCCCCGTAGGGGACATGCCCGACCTAAACCCTGGAGTTGCCCCTCCCCCCTGTCGTTGCTCCTCAGGCTGGCCGCCGGGGGCGCGGTGGCGGCGCTGCTGGCCCTCGGGAGGGTGGTCGAGGGCCGAGGCTTCCTGGACGAGGGAGGAGGGCGACGCTTCGGAGGGAGGACGTCCCTGAGGGCTCGTCGACTTTTCGCCAATCGACTTGTGGGGATCAAGCCAGATAAATCCAGGCAAATGGAGATGAATCGAGGTAAATCGAGGTAAATCCAGGTCAATCGAGACAAATCCGGGTAAATCCAGGTAAAGCCAGAGATCTCCAGGGAAAGTCGGAGCAACTCGCGGCCGCTCCGGCGCGAGTCGAAGGACGGCAGATGTCGTTAAGCCTTTAACGAGGAAGCCTCGATGTTCGAGGTTCGGGGTTTTCTGACGTTTTCGTCGGTTCGTGGCGGTTTTCCCTGCTTCGGGATGCTTTCGGCTGATGCGCCTCGCCGAGGACGCTCTGGGGCTCCCGGGGTCGCCCCGCACGGTTGCTGGAGGTCCGAGTTGTGCCTGGAGACCAAGACCTCCGACGCCGTGCTTCTCCAAGTCTGGGCGGCCTTTCTTGAGATCGACCACTGGGAGAACTTTTCGGGGCCCAGGGCCCCTCAGAGACGGGTCCCGGACGGAGAACGACCCCCGGGGGGAGGCGTCAGGGAGCCAGAGGCGGGGTAATAGCAGACGGGGTAGCAGGAAAGGGCCGGCTCGAGGCATCAACTGGCCCTTCTGTTGCAGTGCATTTTTTTTGCTTCCGCGTTCGATGCAGCAACTTCAACGTGCTGGCTGCGTTGCCCATTTCCAGCTGCTGCACTGCAACTTTTTGTTTTGGGATCTCCGTTGCCCTGTCCGTGGGGCTTGTGTGCCGCTTTTCCGCAACTAGTTGCCAACACATTGCAGTGCAGTTTTTTTTTTCGTTGCAGAAACATGCAGTGCAGTTTTCTGCTCTGGTCGTGGCGGTTTTCCCACCTGGATCTCCCATGGTGGGTCTGCTACCCCGTTTACGTAGGCGTTGCCTGGTGCAGTGCTCCCCGAAGGCGGTCGGGACCTCCGGGGCCGCGGGTGGAGAAGCGCAGATCGGCGGGTGTCGCGGCCTCCTCCTGGCGTGGAGTCACCGCGCGGGGTCTTGGCAGCGTGCCGCCTCCGGGGCCCCTCGCTGGGCACCCGGGGCAGTCGACGGAGCGGCTCGCGGGATGGAGGGCCAGTCCCAGGGAGGGGATCCCAGACCTTTCTTCATCATCATCCCCAGGGAGGGGATGGAGGACCAGCCCCAGGGAGGGGATCCCATTCTTCCCCAGCCTGTCGTCGTCGCCGCGCCGCGCCGCGCCGCAAGGCACTTTTTCTCACCTGCTGGGGTGCCCCCCGGGGGTCGGCGTCGCGGAGCAACGCGACGTCGGAGGCCTGGGCGTGTCCATGACCGCCGCCTGGGGGATCGGTCTCCGCTGACTTCTGGGAAGCTGCAGGCGGTGGGTATGCACATTCTTGAGCCCTGCAGGGGCCAAACACATGTGCATCCGCCGCGTGTCTCAAGTGAGATAGAGCATTTGAGCCGAGCATCGTTGCCTCTGCAGCGCGTGATTGCACAATTTTGTTGTGGCACTTGAGCTGGGCAACGTTGCCACTGCAGCGCGTGATTGCACATGACTGCCGAAGGTCTTTAGTTTTGGTCTCCCCCCCTTGATTTTCGGCGTTGAATAGGATTATGGTGTTCTAACCTACTTGAGCCTTGATCACCAGAAATAATTTCGAGCACCGGAAAAGAGTACCGAAACTCGAGGTTTCTCACGTGTCGGGCCCTGAGAGACTCTCGTCCGACACTGTTTCGACATTGTCTCGACACTCTTTTGACACTTTTCCGGGTGCTCGAAATGATTCCTGGGATGTGGTCCTTAAGTACGATGGGAGCAACATAAGAATAATATTGGTCCCAAAGCCCCCTCCTCCTCCTCCTCCGTGGCGCAACAACGACGACGGCGCTGATCTGTCGTCGTCGTTGTTGCGCGGCTGGTGCCGCGGAACATAAATATTAGTTACCCCAATCGGTGGGACCCCAGTCCTTCAGTAAGGCCGCCGAACAATTAATTGATCATCCCCGATGGGGCGGGAGGTTCTAAAGAGCTTTCAGGGTTACTTTGCATGAGCAGCTGCAGGTGTGCATACATGCATCTATTCCGTGAATTTGGTTGGGCGACCCGACGTCCCTAGAGATCGGTCACCCAGGCGGCGGTTCTGGATAAGCCCCTGCTTCGCAATCCAACGAACCGGCGCGTGCCCACGGCGTCGGCGTCTGCGGCGTCGTCGTCGTCGTCCTCGTCGTCGTCGTCGTCGTCGGCGGCGGCGGCGGCGGCGGCGGCGGTGGTGGCGCCAGCGGCGGCGTCGGCGGCGGCGTCGGCGTCGGCGTCGGCGCTCGACGTCGGCGTCGGCGCTCTCCCAGGTCCTGGGTGCGGCGGCGGCGCCGGCCGCGTCCGCCGTTGGGCGCAGCGCCCAGGGGTGCGCGAGCGGGTCCTGCGGGAGCCGCTCGCGCAGCCTCGACGCGACCCTGCTGCTGAAGTCGAGGGGCCCAGAGGTCGGGGCCTCGAAGAAGAAGAAGCCATGGCATCAGCATAATCTTTCGTAGCTTCGCGCGGATTTCTTGGATCTGCCTGGGCCCCCCTGGCGGCACCTCCAGCCCCGCCCGTGGCGCGCTTCGCGTGCCAGGGAGGAGATTCAGCGCCGATCCCAGAGAATCCGCCCGGCTTGTCGAACATTTATTTTTATGCCGATTTTTGTTCTTCAGCTCCCAGGTGTGGCTTAGGGGGGGACGAAGTTTCGAGGCTCGAGGCTTTCGGGCGTTGCAGTCGGTTCTTCGCGGCTCTCCAGCCTCGGGATGCCTTCCAGCGGCTGCGCCTCGCCGAGAGAGTGCCGGGGGTGCTGGGATCGTCCCGAGCGGCCCCCAGGGGCTCGAGTCATGACCCGAAGGCTGGGCCCAGGGAGGCATGCATCGACCCACAATCGTCCGCTCGTCGCCCGATAGGGGCCCAGTAGCTCGCCCCGCCCAGGAGCCTGCGGATGTGCCCTCGGGGGCGCTTCGCCGAGCCATCGGCGATGCATCTTCGATTCAGGCTCGATGTTCCCCCCCCCTCTCCTCCCCCCCTTGGCCCCTGAGCTGGCCCCCTCCACCGTCCCCTCCCACTCACCAGAGCAGCTTCCCAGATCTCCGGTGGTTTGCCCTCCCCGCGTTCTGCCTCGATGGCGGCGTCTGGGGCCCGCTGTGGGGCTCCCCAGGGCCGCAGGAGTGGATCGGGGGGCGAAGAGAAGAGCTGTCCCCCAGGGAAGTGGTCGGGAGCACTGTGGCCGCGGATTGAACCAAACTCGAAGGAGGGAACAAAGACACGAGCGTGAAGTTTTTCGGAGGTCCGCGCGGATGCCTTGGATCGTCGGAGTGCGCCGGGGGGTCTGCCGGGGGCGCCGCCCGGGGCCCCGCGCAGATGCAAGGGATGATCTATGTGGACCTCCAAAGCTTTCGGTCTGTGCGTGCCTGTTTTCGTTCCTCTTTCCAGATGGGGTCGGAGGGTCATGCGGCACCGCCGGTGCGGCGCGGTCGGGAGCGTGATCGTCTCCACCCCGCCGTCGTCGGTGCTTCGGCGATGCGTCGGGGATGCGGCGCGATCCTCTGACCCCGCCTGCTCTGGGCCCCCTTTCGGAGTCCTCCAGGCGGTCAGCGTTCCGCCCGAGCCGGCGCGGGGCGACGACGACGACACGAGGCCCGCCGGGTGGCCGCCAAGCCAGATGCCCGGCGGACGGCTTCCGGGGCTCGCGGCCCTCGGGGGCCGCCGTCGGGCCCCGGGGCGATCGATGCGGATTCAGGGCGTTTTTTTTTTTTTTTTTTTTTTTTTTTTTTTTTTTTTTTTTTTTTTTTTTTTTTTTTTTTTTTTTCCCCCCTTATATATATATATATAAATATTTATCATTATTGTTATTACTATTATTATTATTATTATTGTTATTACTATTATTATTATTCTTATTATTTTTATTTTTATTATTATTATCATTATTATTATTAGTATTATTATTATTAGTATTCTTATTATTATTAGTACTATTATTATTATTATTATAATAAAAAAACAAGCACGCAAAATAGGTGGATCCGGGGCGCAAGAGGAAGGAGAAGGGGCCGGGACCTCTGGGTCCCGCGGGGTGTCCGGGAGAGATGCCCATGGCCCGGGGTGTCCCCAGGAGTTCGACCCCCGCGATCTCCAGAGCACACCTCGCGAGGCCCAGAGGGCCCCAGGGGGCCACACGGTGGCGCAAGAGGCGGGCAAGCCCGTGGCCAAGAGGGGGCTCAGGCCAAGAGCGCCTCCGTCGAAGAAGGAATACCGTAGAGACCCATGTCAAGCAACGCCCTGCTTGCCTCCAGGGTGCCATGGGTTTGGGTTTCGATGGTTTTGCGATGGAAAGCGTGCCATTCCCACATCAAAAGTCAGTGGACGTCCTGGGGTCTCAGGGTGGGGTTTCTTGTGGAAGGTTTCTTGTGGACTGGCCCCCACTGTACGTGCAGAAACATCGAGACTTTCGGCAATCCGGGCGGATTTTCTTCTTCGATCGGCGCTGGAATCCCCATCCCTGGCGCGCGGAGCGCGCTATGGTTAAGTCGGGCGTGTCCCTCTACAGTAGGAGTATACAAAAATAGTCAAAACATAGTATGGGGACGATTTGTTTCGACTTTATTTTTTTCGTCCAACATCCGCCTCTAGGGGGACATGCCTGCCCGACCTAAACATAGAGACTTCCGGCAATCCGGGCGGATTTTCTTCTTCGATCGGCGCCAGACTCCCCACCCCTGGCGCGCGGAGCACGCCAGGGGTGGTGCGGGAGGCTCCGCCAGCAGGGCCCAGCGTAGACTCGAGCAGTCCGCGCGGACCTGCGAGCGTGTACTCCACATTTCGTAATAAAGGGAGGGGGGTCTCATTTCGGGGGGGGGTCTCTTCCAGGCTATCTTGGAGGGCCTGGGGGGTCTGGGGACGATGTTTTGGAGGGTTCTCCCACGGGGGAGGTCTGAAATGGCTTGTCTTGGAGGGTCCAGACCCCCTCCCTTTTTATTACGAAATCTGGAGTGCGCTTGTGCCGGTCGCCCTCGACAGCCGCTTTGTGCCGCTCTTGTCCTGCCTATTGCTGTGCTCAAGACGTGCCTGTCCCCCCTCCACCACAGCAGCCCCTCGCGAGGGTCCTCGACGTCGGCCGGGAGACGACGACCGCCGTCGCCGGCGAGGAGACGACGACCGCCGCTGGGGAGGAGACGACCGCAGCCCTCGCGGGCGACGACGACGACGAGGCGGAGGCGACGCCCGACGGTGCCGAGAAGCGGCTCGCGGGCGAGCTGTGCGGCTGGTGGGGCTGGCGCGACAACGGGACGTACGCGTTCAGGGTCCGGGGGAAGCGCCGGCCGCCCCGGCCTCCGATGTCTCGGCCTCCCCCGTCGGCGGCGAGCCCCCGGGGGGGAAGCGACAGGGGTGCAGGTCTTCTCCTCCTCCTCCTCCTCCTCCTCCTCCTCCTCCTCCTCCTCCTCCTCCTCCTCCCCCTCCTCCTCCTCCCCCTCCTTCTCCAAGGGCGGCGGGGCTTTGAGGAGCACCGCCGCCTTCTGAGCAGGCCTGCCGGGCTCGCCGCCGAGTCTTTCAGGGGGGGAAAACACACGCGCGGACACAATGAATCGACGACCCCCGGGAAAATAGGGGAAAACATGGGAAGTGTGGGGGGAAGACAAAAACCCGGAAAATATGGGACACTGTGGGAAATCTTTGTATTTGTGTGTATTTGTTTGTGTGTCCTGGGGCCCTTTTAGGCCCACCCCCGCCCCTGGTGGGCCAGGGCATCTCAGCCCCGTCGGTCCACCCCTCTGTGGCGAGGAGCGGCCCCGCGAGCCCCGAGGGAACAGGCGCACATCCCCATCCAGGTGGCCACGTCGGCCCAGCGAGCGAAGAACGGTATAACATAAACTTCTTCGCTGTCGGGGGCGCCTGTCCCTGGGCGGCTGGAAAGTTTATACCCCTACGGTGCCACCGTAAGGGTATAAACTTTCCAGCCGCCCAGGGACAGGCGCCCCCGACAGCGAAGAAGTTTATTTTATACCGTTCTTCGCCCGTTAGTCGGCCCTCGCACCCCCCACGCTCCCCCCCATGGAGTAGATCAGGAGGGGAGAAAGCACACAGGCACAATTAATCGTCGGCTCCCCAGAAGATAGGGGGAAAGATGGGAAGTGGGGGGGGGAAGACAGAAGCCCAGAAAGTGTGGGGAAATATGGGGAATCTTTTTATTTGTGTGCACTTATTTGTGTGTCCCAGGGCCCCTTCAGTGGGTCTTGGCTGTTTTGGGCGCCTGTTTCAGGCAGGCGGGGTCTCTCCCACGGGGCGCACTGCGGCGAGGCGGTCACGCCGAGCAGAGGGCCGGAGCCAGACCCCCCCCCTCTCCCCTCCCCTGCCGCCCAACGTCGAAACGCCGAATGAGACAACGCTCACGAGGGCGAGTATCTCCTTGGTCGGACGAGAGGGGGATAGGGGTCAGTCGTGCGTGTCCCACTACAGGGGGAATGCTCAAAACAGTCAGAAATCAGGCAGGGGACGATTTTGGGACTCTATTTTTGAGTACCACGGGGGTGCTCTTTTTTTGCGTACTCGTTATTTTTCCCCCGAAATCCCCCCGTGGGGGGACACGCCCGACTTGAGGATAGGGAAGCGGCGGGGTGCGAAAGGCGCTGCGTGCAGGTGGTCGCGGCCCTGCCGCAGGGCGCACTCTCTGTGCACGGGCGCCTCTGCCGCGGGAAAAGCCGCCACGTCTGCGGAGGACGATCAGTGGAGAGGAAGCGTGCTGCCAACTCATTTCCAGATGTCTAGAACATGTGCTACAGCGGTTTAAAGCATAAAACAAAAACATGTCTTAACCATTTCCAGGACATTTGTCCGACATTTGTAACATCTCTCATATTCGACGATCGGACTGCTAGGGTGTCCACTGTCGTGGCATCCACGAAGCTACGTGCGGGGATTCCCGTCCCAGGCAGGCGTCGAGGCGCATGTCTCTTGTCGGCTTTGGCTCATGGGTAGAGGTGCTCTCGGGCCTCTGGGGGCCATCGAACGGGGGTCTGGCACCGAAGGAGAGTTGAGGAGGAGGAGGAGGAGGAGGAGGAGGAGGAGGAGGAGGAGGAGGAGGAGGAGGAGGAGGATTCCCGGGGACACCGTATCGAGACAGGCCAGGGCATCGGGGGTCGGGGCCTGCACACCCACACTGTTCCTGGCAAACCCAGGCTGGCCCAGGATCGGCCAGCGTCGCCTCCCCGGCTGCCAGGCCTCGACGAGGAGCAAGACTGCACAAGCATACGCTTGCGGAGGTCCGCGCGGACCTTTTGGATCTCACCAGCCTGGAACATGTCCCTATCCCTATGCTGGGCATCTCCTCATCACGATGCCAATCTTAGGGATTCCCCCATTTTTTGAGGGCGCATCCCTCAGATTGTCATCGCATTTTGGCGTGTCAATCTTAGGGATAGGGATACGTTCGAGGCTGGTAAGGATCTGCGCTGGGCCGCGTGGCGGAGCCTCTAGCGCCGTTCCGCCCCCCCAAACAAGAATCCGCCCAGAGCTCTGACAGTTTCGCCGGGGCTCGACCTGACAGGTGCTTTTGTGCCGTTCTTCGGGGGCGGAAAAGAGGGGGGTGATGACTAGGGGGGGTGGATATCATGGCGTGGGCCGTGATATTTCCCCCGATTTCGTGGCGCCTCTTCTTGTTTCATTACGTCCCTGGCCCCCCCGCTGGGCCGCGCACATGCCGCCGGTCATGCTTTGCACCCCCCCCTCTTGGACACCCCCCTCTTGGCCGCTCCCGAGTTCTCGCTTGGGCTCCGAGAACGAAGTGAGCTGTTCAGGTCGAGCCCTGGTCTGTGTTGCAGTGGAGACCCATGCCACGGAACGCCCTGCTTGCCTCCAGGGTGCCCTGGGTTTCTTGGGCTTCGATGGTCTTGCGATGGAGAGCGTGACGCTCCCACATCGAGCATCAGTGGACGCTCCGGGGTCTCAGGGTGGGGTTTCTTGTGGCAGGTCTCTTGTGGACTGGCCTCCACTGTAGTGCAGTGGCTCGGCGGCGAGCGAGGGGTGAGAGTGAGAAGGGGCGGGCCTTCTCAGAAGGCTCGGGAGTCCCCCGGGACTCCTGGACAGTGTTCGAGGGCCTGCCCCGAAGACGGAGCAAGGCCTCTCAGGGGGCGCGAGGGCCTCTCCGAGCAGCCCCGCCGCCTTCTGAGAGGGCCCTCTCCTCCTCGGCTCCCCCCGAGGAGGAGGAGGAGGAGGAGGAGGAGGAGGAGGAGGAGGAGGAGGAGGAGGAGGAGGAGGAGGAGGAGGAGGAGGAGGAGGAGGAGGAGGAGGAGGAGCCGCCGACAAAGAACCAGACCAGCAACACACGGACAAACGCACAATATCGACCTGCGCAGCGGCAGCAGCAGCATTCAGCGACGCTATACCAATATTGGATCACCACAGTTTCTACCGACACAGTTCCAACAACACGTCCAGAAGCTGACATGGCACTACGACCTCGAGGAACACGACTTGCACGAGCACGCCAGGCTGGCGGTAAGGCATCTCGCGCCCCCGAGACCCTCGGCGTCTGTGAAGCGGCACTACTACTTCACCGACGCGTCCTACCACGCCAAGGCGCCAGGCACATCGGCATGGGCAGTGGTACATTTGAGGGAAGACGACCAGGGCATTGCCTATTACAGACACATGTACTCCAACCACGCCCTGTCAGTCAGCGAGGAAATGGCCAACAACATCACCTCCAGTACTAGCCCCGAATTGGGAGCGTTGCTCTGGGCAGGTATCGCATGTATCCAGGAGGACGATGGGCATGAGATCGTCATCATCGGCGACAACACCGCGGCCCTTGGCGCAGCAGCTAGAACATCGAGGATCAGATCGTGTAGGAACCGCCCACTCGCGAGGTTCACACGTATACTATTCCAGCAGCTCCAACTCACCAAGGTCATCAGCTTCGAACACACACATGCTCATCGAGATGCACCCTGGAAAGAAGCAGCAAATATTCTGTCAAAGTATGCGGCACTCCAACCAGCGCCACCACCGCCCGCGGAAGAGCTAGTTGGCATAGTACGATATAACAGCACGCTCGAATGGGCCTGGATGGACAACCCAGCTTGCAGGGACCTACATGCTTACCCAACCTGGAAGCACGGACAGCTCGAGGAGCACGTCGCACCTCAGATGGCAGAAGCAGACCACATCCCCGACCTTACCGTGGACAGCTACAACAAGGGCATACTGAAGCTCAACATCGTGCAGTACAACGCCCAGTCCATGGTAGGCGACTTCACCTCCACAGACCTGCACCTGGACATTTCCAGCAAAGGGGCTCTGGTCAGAGCCCAACTCTTGGACCTGAAGGTTCACGTCGCCGGGCTGCAGGAGACTCGCTGTAAGGAGGCCATATGGACTGGACAAGGTTTTATCAACATCCAGAGCGACGCGCAGGACGGCAATTGGGGATGCGCGTTATTACTCGACGTGGAGATCCCGTACGGACAGCTCAAAGGGAAAGACCTGTACTTCAAGCAGTCCCAGCTCACAAAACTGCACTCTTCGGCCAGGATGCTCTTTGTCCGCGTGCATGCTCCCTTATTCCACCACGTCATCGCCGTGGCCCACGCCCCGTGCCAATAGGCCAAGGACATCAGCGGGTGGTGGGAACATTTCAGAGAGCTGTGCGACACATGGAAGCCAGAGATCCTGCTCATCGACGCGAATGCCAAACTAGGACACAGAGATGGAGAGGACACGCTGTGGCTGGGCCAGAAGGGTCCAAATCAGCTGACAGACAAGAATGGACACGAATTCCATGAGTCTGTCGCCAGTTGCCACCTGCACGTCGTCAACACATACTACGGGAACAGCGACGACTACACATACCACAAGGACGGGGTCTCCAACCGCATCGACTACGTCGCCATGGCTCCCTGCCTATTCAAATGCGTCGCAGCTTGCACAGTACTGAAGGACTTCCAAAAGCCGGCCGCCAAGAAGAAGAACGAGTACAGCAAGCAGAGGGGCAATGGCGCTCAGAACGGCTTCGACACGACCACGGATCACCTGCCCGTGCTTGTTGAAGTCGTGGGCGACATCATCGGACGCCGCCGCAACTTGAAGGGAGCCGCTCAGCTGGACACTAACAAGCTCAAGAACCCAGAGTGCATCACCGCCTTCAAGCAGGACCTGAACAGCACCAGGTTACCACCATGGAAGGCCGACGTCAATGAACACTATCACGAGACGGCGGGGCTCATCGCCGACAAGACTAAGCAGCATTTCGGACGAGACCCGCTTGCACCTTGCAACGCCACAATTTCAGAGGCCAGCATGCGATTAT